CTGATTCCCACCAAGATGTTTCCTGGTCCAGCAGCACTTAAAAGTGAAAATTGAAAACAACAACAAAAAAAAATTATGTTGTTGCCTAAGGCCTGTTGTAGCCCTCTTTGGTGGCTTCATAGTACTGTAATTAGCTTGCAAGTATAATGTGCATGTTAGTTTCCAAAATTAATGTAAAAGCTTTAACAATACAAGCAAATCAGTGTTGTTTTTAACAAAAATTAAACTATTAAATATCATTTTCAAATAAATAAAATATAAAAAAAATAAATAAATATAAAATATAAATATTATATGAAACAATAAATGTAAAAATGTAAATAATAAAAACATTTAAGCCGAAATGCTAAAATTAATAAAACTAAAGTTGAAATAAAAATGACTAAACTTAACCTAAAATTAAAATGAAAACGGAAGCTTTTATGAGGAAAATCGAATGCAAAATAGCTATAATAATACTACAAAAGTATATAATTAATAATAAAAACAATGAGGCAAATAGATCAGAGTATTAACACTGACATCTGTCTTCATCATCACTCCCCTCAGCCCCAATCCTGCTTTTATAGGAAGATATTTGTCCCCATCTAATGGTGTGATGCTCGAACAACAGCGGAAGAGTGAGTTAAACTGTGGTGACGTCAGACGCAAAGGAGCGTCGCTGTATTTTCCTCATCGATCGCAGGTGTCTCTACCGGCCGTCACGAAGGAGTTACAGTGACCTACTTAGGTAACATCTCTTTTACTTCGCATTCATCCACAAAGTAATTCTCCGTGTTGTAGTCTCGCGTTGACGGGCTCTCTAATGTATTTCGTCTGTATACACATCTTTTAAAGCTAGCTAACGTTAGTCATGTTTTCTGTTGGTTAGATTGCATCTTGGCGCCAGGAGAATGTTTGTAGTTTTGACACCACAGTAACTAATTAGTAGAACTGTATCGATTAGTTTGTGTGAGGCGAAGAGGAAACCCAAAGCCGGCGGAAACTTCTGGACACTTAAGTCATGCATTTAAACTAGCAATGGTGGCTCAATTCAGAGTTCCTGTTTCTCATTCTGTCTCTAAAACCAGGGCTTTGCACCCCGTAGTGCTGGCTAACTAAACTGAGGTTTCGTTTGTGATGGTTTCAATTCAGTAACATGGACAGTTGCATGCAGGTCTTTGTGCTTGGTTTTCTCAATCCTCTTAGCAACAAAGTCACATCAATGTCAGTGTTCCACATGCTCTCTCAGTCTGGCATGAACTCTAATGACTGTTAGCTGTTAGCCATAACATATGTACGCACGCAACACTAAAAATAGTCGTTTATTGATAGGTTATAGATTACAATAGATTATTGAGCAGGCTGGAAAATCAGCTAAGACCAGCAAACCACTTTAGGTTGTTTTGATCAGTTCAGCAGGCTACAATAAAACATTACATGTATTAAGAATTTGTAATAATTACTATTAAGTTGTTTTAGGATATGTTTTAACTTTTTGTTGGATTATGTCTATTGTCTAACTGCTCAGATTAGAACACAACATGTTTCCCACTTGAAGACGAATGCCTGTTATGTAATTGGGAAATAAGCTAACAACAATAAATCAGTAACTTAATAGGTTAACATATTTTGGTTAACATATTTCTTTTATGTTCAGAATGACTTTGGGTGCAGTTGCCTCCGCGATCCTTGCCATAGGAGGAGCTGCAGTGTTTTCTGCTCTTCATAAGATTGAAGAAGGACATGTGGGTGTCTACTACAGGTAAGTTGCTCAAGATTTTCCATTAATCTTCTTCCAGAACCAAGCAGATGCTGCAGTGCATGCCACTTTCTACTTTGTACTGTAGATTGTATAACTGTGTGTGCTTCTCTCCTCTCAGAGGTGGAGCTCTGCTGACCACCACCAGTGGCCCTGGATTTCATTTGATGTTGCCGTTCATTACTTCATTCAAGTCTGTACAGGTAAAAGACAGACGTTTTATGTATAGTTTAACTTGATAGGTTTCTTTTTCTTATTGCATCCTCTCTCTTTTCGTAAAGTCAACCCTACAAACAGATGAAGTAAAGAATGTTCCATGCGGCACGAGGTGAAGTAAATTTTGAACATTCATCAGATCTTCTGTAAGGTGCAGTCACCATAGACTTTGTGTTTCTATTCATATGCATGCAAAGTGAGAGTGAGAGCAGCATTACAGTAGGCATGTGGTTTCCCCTATTACTGGATACCAAATTCAATTTTGGTAAACTCTTACCTGCAATTCTGTATAGCCAACATCATATATAAGTCATTTGGCAGCGTTTAAAGCCTGTACACACAGCAGGTAATCAGTTCAGGAGATTCCTTGACTGAAGGTTTAAACTTTGTGCATCATTTTTGAGCATTTGAGCATTTTTGAACATCATTTGTGAGTAGACACTTGGAGTTTGATCTAGAATTGATCTAATATAGTGTTTAGGTTAAGACATTTAAATCTGGCTCAGAACGTTTCACAATTCTGTTCCCTCCTCCTTTACTTATCATTTCCTCTCATCTTCTCTGTTCTTTTCTATAACAATAACACTGGCAAAAGTCCAGAAAAACTGGTTAAAAATAAATCCCAAGGATTTTTCAGATTGTTGCTGTAAATAGTTAAGAATAATGTAATGAATATTTTTGACGATTGTGTTCTTAATGTGGGTAAATGTGTTATCATATGTTTATATACTGTACACTGCTGAACTCAAAAGTTTGGGTTCAGTAAGATTTTGTATGTTTTTGAAAAAAGTCCCTCACCATGTCTATTTATTTGATCAAAAATACAGTACAAATAGTAATATAGTGAAATATTATTGCAATTTAAAATAACAGTTTTTGTTGCTCAGGAAATAGTGTGGAAACTACGATACATTTATACATTCTGTTCATAAAACAGTTTGTCAGTTGCTGTTTTTAGGGAGACCCTGTTTCACACTCATTCATATATA